TAAACCGGTAGTATACTCAAGGCTCGTGTGCGCCTGCCCGAGTGCTGTACCGGCCAACGACAACAGACGGCCCCTCCGACCACCGCTCTCTCGTTCGATCACCACCCAGCCACAGCTCCTTCCAGTCATGGACGATCAATAAAGAGGCCGCTTCGCACGTGACCACAATGAGATGGTTTCGAACCAGTACGTGTGTGTGTGTTCTTTTAGCGTAGAGATGCTTGTTGGTGGACCGCCACGCTCGTATACAAGTCGTTCGAGGTCCCTTGGTAGTTCAGACGGGTGCATTTGACGTTTAACCCTAACTAAATGAGCCGTTTCATCGCGCTTCTTCCTTGTGTTCTTTGTGGCACATGCCGAGCGTTGCCTTATTATGGTGACCTTCTTCAGTGACATTCGTGTCCGGATGGGGGGGATGTCCGGATAGAAAGAATCGGCGTGTCGGGATCGAACCGGCGACCTCTGGAGGTGGAAGCAGGAATCATACCGCTCGGCTCAAGCGGCCCCCCCTGAGGTCCCTTGGAGCATTTGGTGGAGGCTGGCGCGCGTGAACGAGGCAATGGACCGACGACGCAAGCACGAGCGTCCGCGATGGTGTATCTTTGGTAATTTCGGCATCTTTCAAATATATGCCGAAGGCGCCAAGGAAGAATGCCGCAGCAGGCGCGCCATCGTGGTGCGCGACATGTAATTTCGGCAATAGCCGCGAGGCGCCGTGGCACATCCAGCCGCCACACCCACGAGCGAGGACAGAGTCGATGCGTACGTGCTCCTATAAGACTAGAGAAAAGATAAAACTTGGTTTATAACCAGGGCTATGACAACACAAGGTAGGGGCTGCTGGTGCCCACGCCCATGGCAGTGCCGCCAAGCCACATACCGTGTTTTACTGCTTATACCGGGACGGCATGTTTGTTGAACCATGCGGAAATGGTTCAAGTTTTTTATACTATAATTTAATCAAGTCATATCATTTTTCCTTACAATCGCGCGCATAAGATTTGACAAGAAATGCTTCTATTCACTCGTCACAGCTCAATCGTGCTGTCGTTTAAGCTCATCTCGTCGCTATGCAAGTTACATTGCATGAGCCTTTCAATGAGGTCTTGATCAACTTCTTCCTTGTCCTCCAAGACATCATCTGCACGTTCTTTGTTGATAAAATTGCAGCGCGTGAAGCCAGCGATAATCGTCGAGGGAGCCAATTCTTCCCACGCTGCAGTCACCCACTGAACGATGTCGGGACGCTTGGGAGACGTGAGCTTCCACGGGCCTTGCGAAGCATCGTGCTTCTTGAGCTGGTCTTGAAGGCTCGCGATCCAGAACTTGCGTGGCACCTTCTTGAGCGGGGAGTTCCAGCTAACGTCCGCGGGTTGGCAGCACCAAGTGTACGACGGCGGCACGTGGACGAGCTTGATGTTGAGCTCCTTGGCGCACGCCAGGACCTTGGGTGTCCAGTGGGCCGACAGGTCTGCCGCTTCTTGGGTTGGCTCGGGGCTTCACTCATTCAGCAATCCTGCCACCTCGTTTGCGTGGCCATCAAGCACCAATAAAATCTTACAGGTTTTTATCATATTTGCAGGGTCATCCACTAGAAGAGGTAAACCTCTCACAATTGAAGATTCGATATTAATTCATGGAGAAAATTATCAGATCCCGTTATAAGCCGCGTCCCGGTATAAGCAGTAAAACACGGTATCGTCGATCCGGTTCTATCCGGACAATGGGCACGGCACGTGTCGTCCGGATATAACCGGATGGTTGTCAAGACTCCGGCCAATGAAACGCGCAGTTTTCGAGGGATCCAATCAAACGGCAGCTTGAAGTAGAGCCACCAATGAGATGCGGCGCGCGGGTGGTGACGACACCACTCCTTCGTTCAGCATCCACGACCTACCGACAGTAGTCGCTGGCACCGCTCTATGGGCGACCGCGTCCAGGGCCTCCTACCGGACAGTCGCTGCTTCGAAATCAAATCGATCTCGTTAGGAATCGCTTCAAGGTTCCACCTCTAACTTTGCATCAACGAGCTTCCTGGCGTCCTGCCTTCACAGTCGTCTCTTTTTTTGGCGATGTTTTAACCCTTTCAAGCGTGTCCTTCCGGGGCGTTCCGAGGCGAGGTATCGTCTCGAAGCACCAAGCCGCGTCAATGGCGTGTGGATCAATCCAGTGTTTTCGCCGTGCATCGCCGCCCATGCAGTGTCTGCTCTATGCTGCGTCAACAGTCACCTCACGTCTCCGATCAAGTGCGCCTCCTACAAGTGCGGACCCGCGTAAGTCTTTAACGCCGGGCCATCGGACGTGCCACGTGCGTACTTAACCGAGCACCCACTTGTGGCCCGTATACGAAACAGCCAAAATCCGCATTTGCCATGAAGGTAGGAAGCTGACTTCGCCGAGCTTCGCCTAACGCCGATGGCCTAGGTCCTGGTTGCTGTCAAGCGCGTCGTCGACTACGCCGTGAAGGTCCGCGTGACGCCCACCGGCGTCGACCTCAACAACGTCAAGATGAGCATGAACCCGTTCTGCGAAATCGCCGTCGAAGAGAGCATCCGCCTCAAGGAGCAGAAGCTCGCGACCGAGGTCAT